GACATCATTTGCGCCCACCATTTCTCTGATGACTGTTTTTCTAATTTTGTCTCGCCTGGTCTTCTTTACTGCTTTTCTTTGTAAATTCTGTTTTCTTCACCTGCAACTACTTTTGTGTAGCAACATGCACGCTATCAAGTGTGGGAATTCGCCTTTCTGATTTCTGTAAGTGTATTCAGTGTTTAAGGCCATGGGCCCTCATCACATCACATACAACAATCATTTGATAAAAGTTTCCATAATGAATAAGTACAGGTTGTGCACATATTTCTTATGGGTCAAACTGCTTATTTCTGTCACTGGGCCGAGTCAGGCTGGGAGGGATTAACAATTTCCTTTGAAGGACAAAGGGTGAACAATAGAAAATAAAGTGAAATTCATCTTCAATTTCATGAGTTACACCTCTCACATAAGGGAAAATTCGTTAATTTCCACTGGTAGAGATTATTTAATGGAAGGCTATAGTTTTTTTTAACAAAGCTATGACTCTTCTGCTCCAATACCGTGGGAGGTTGGTGATATATCCAGCTGTTTCTGATTTCTGTATAACGCTTTGAAATGGGCTGCGAAGTTGCTATTGGCCTAGAGGTTAAGGTGTTGGCCTCTCATTCAAAGGTCCCGGGTTCGAATCCGGGTAGCAACCAAAACCCTTTTCTTCTCTAAAATTGTCTCCTTTCACTTCCTTTCCCGCTTTCAAGCAATTTTCTGTCTTCTGCTTTCGTCTCCTCTTTCTGCACCCACTCCCTCATCTCCTTTGCCCCCCTCTTCTGGGCTCCTGATTCTTTCTACAGCCTTTCTACTGCTACTCCTTGGCTTCTTCTTACTGTTGTCTTTTTAGCAACACCCCTGATCTTCTGGTAGGAAAGTTTTACACCTAGCCTTCTCGGACAAGGGCGAAAAATCTCGGAGGGCCCGTGTGCAAGTTGCGCACGTTAAAGATCCTTTGGTGGTCTAAAATCAATAAGAGTAGACTTCGGCCGCCACCCGGGCAAAATTCTGTGGACATCTCTGTCTGTGGACATCTCTGTCTGTGGGCATCTCTGTCTGTCTACATCTGTCTGTGACGTGGAGAAAATATTATATATCTACACCAACATTTTCTATTTTAACGTTTAAGATCAAATAACCCGTACACAGCCGTGCAGTGAACTACGTATAAAAAAACTAACCTATGTTTCGGCGCTCATTTGACCTTATGCAGTTGCGAGCGCCGTAAATCCCCATATTAAACTAAAAAAAACTTTAAAAAACTAACTCTTTCTAGGGGGCTTTCGGGGCCTAGAGTTTAGGGCGTTTGCCTCCCATTCAAAGGTCCCGGGTTCGAATCTGGGTAGCGACCGAAAACTTTTATTCTCTAAAATTGTCTCCTTTCCCTTTCTTTTCTGCATTCTAACAATGTTCTGTCATCTGCTTTCGTCTCCTCTTTCTGCCCCCACTCCCTCATCTCCTTTGCCCCATCCTCTGGGCTCCTGACTCTTTCTGGAACCTTTCTACTGCTACTGCTTGGCTTCTTCTTACTGCTGTCTTTCAGCCACACCCCTGATCTGAAGGTAGAAAAAATATCTACACCTAGCCTTCTCGGACAAGGGCGAAAAATCTCGGAGGGCCCGTGTGCAAGTTGAACGTTAAAGATTCCTTGGTGGTCTAAAATTGATAAGAGTAGGCTTCGGCCGCCACCAGGGCCAAATTCAAAATTTCCTACCAACTGAATATTTTTAATGTGCCCCGCGCGCTCATCTGACCTTATGCAGTTGCGAGCGCCG